ATCTTATTGAAGTATGTTAGGGTTCACATCCATGGCCCTAACGGCGACGTTGTTACTGATGCTCTTCTGGACGACGGCTCTACAATTACGATGATAGATCAGAAGATTGCTGAACAAGCAGGGTTGAAAGGTCAACCTAAGACCTTACACGTGCGCGGTGCTTGGAACAACAGCGTTTTGATTGGCGAGACAGAGTTATTGACCTTCGAAGTCTCGGGTCAACATCCCGATCGTTTCAAGATTGAAGCTGGTACTGTAAACGGAATTAGTCTACCAAGTCAGAACTTTCAACCTGAAAGCTTTAGTCACCTCTCAGGTATTCAAGACATGCTAACTTGTGGCCACATGAAACCGTCTATGATCATCGGTCAGGACAATTACCATCTCTTAGCGCCTTTAGAGACTATAGAGGGTGATCCTTATGCAACGCGTACCGCTCTGGGTTGGACGGTCCATGGACGTTCATTCAGTAAGCATCGAGCACACGGAACGACTAAAGCGTATACACTGTTGATATTAAACCAGCAAAACGAAGATAGTTGTACGGAAAATGACTTACACGATCTCGTCAAACGGTCGTATGCTTTAGATGCGCTAGGTGTTAGCATTAAGACGAGGCACTGTTCAGAAGATGTCAAAGCATTGAATATTCTTGAAGCGACGCCCAGGCATATGGGATCTCACTGGGAAGTTGGTTTGCCGTGGAAGGATAAGGATGTGAAGATGAAAGACTCCTATGCTACGGCCTATAGTCGTCTTCAAGGGGTAGTCAAAAAAATGAATATGAACGAAGGTTTTCGAGTGCGATATAAGGAACGTATACAACACCTTATTGATAATAATTATGCTTATCTTTGTAAAGAGGCCAACGCAACATCCAACCGTTTATGGTATTTACCTCATTTTGCGGTCGACAATCCGAACAAGAAAAAATTGCGCCTTGTATTTGATGCTGCGGCAAAATCTCAAGGTTACTCATTGAACGATTACCTTCTTCAAGGTCCAGACTTACTTATATCTTTATTTGGAATTCTCCTGAGGTTCAGAGAGCGCCGCATTGCAATTACAGGTGATATCAAGGATATGTTCTTACGTGTACAAATTAGAAAAGAAGATCAAGATACTTTGCGTTTCCTTTGGCAAGACGATAACAAAGTCTCTAGTTCTCCGGCTATATATTACATGAACTCTAATTTTTGGAGCATGCTGCTCGCCGTTCGCTCAGTATGTCAAAAATATAAATGCTAAACGGTTTGAAAAAAAGTTTCCTCGTGCTGTTACGAGTATAATCAAAAACCATTACATGGATGACCTTATGGATAGCCTTGACAGTGAGGAAGAGGCAATACGGTTAGCGCGAGAAATATATGACATCCACAAGAGTGGTGGATTTGAAATTAGGAATTGGACTAGTAATAGCATTGGAGTCCTGCGAAGTCTAGCTAAGGAAGACCTTGGTCCTAGCGCTGTTCAATTTAAGATAGAGGGATCAAGCGAGAGCGAAAGGACTTTAGGAATTTATTGGTTTCCGGCTGAAGATAAACTGAGTTTCGATGTTTCTCTGAAGCGCGTGAGCAAAGATATCCTTACAGGTGTTCAAAGGCCGACAAAAAGACAAATGTTAAGGGTGGTTATGTCTATATTCGATATACAGGGATTTTTGGTACCGCTGACTATTAAATCCCGAATACTTCTTCAAAACGTATGGAGAAGTGGTGTAACTTGGGACGAACACGTTAAGGATAGAGAATTCATCAAATGGAAAAACTGGCTGAAAAGTATCGAACCTTTAAAAACTTTATCCATACCAAGGTGGTACTTGAATGGCAAAATATCAATAGCAACGGAAAATGTCGTGGAAAGGGAGTTGCACATTTTCTGCGACGCATCCCCACAAGCCTACGATACAGTTGGCTACTGGCGTATAAACCGTACGTTGCTAATCGCTTAGGCGAAATTGACGAGCATACTATCACCAATGAGTGGAGATATGTTCCCACCTCTACGAATGTGGCTGATTTCGCTACTAAGGAGAATGTAGAAAAACTTACCTTTGATCATCCATGGTTCCAAGGTCCTCAATTTCTGTGGCTTGAGCGATCTCAGTGGCCTAGTAACGAATTTGGAAAATGCTCTACAGACGATATTGACATTGAGCTCAAGAGTGAGGTAGTAAACGTTATTACGTCTTTTGAACCGTTCCCTATACCTGAACCAACGAGGTTTTTCGTCGTGGATGAGACTACTTCGCGCAACTGCTACTGTTTTAGCTGCAATCGATAAGCTAAGGAAAAGAGACGGCATGATTGACGAGGCTAAATTAAAGAGAGCTGAAATCATTGTACTTCAACAAGAGCAACTAAAATCATTTCAAGATGAGATAATTTTGTTGCAACAGAATAAACCTTTGGGTAAGAATAGCACAATTTGGACACTTACACCTTACCTAGATGAGAATGGCGTTTTACGTGTTCAAGGTCGTATTGACGCAGTAGTTGGCGTCACTGCGGAGATGAAGCGGCCTGCTATTTTAGATGGTCGCAGTCATGTCTCACGGTTGATTATAATGCATTTTTATGTTTTGGCTGCACACTCATGTGACGAAACAGTTATAAATGAACTAAGGCAGCGATTTTGGATCGTTCACCTTCGGCCATCAGTTCGTAGCGTTAGTTCAAGGTGTTTAGTTTGCAGAATTAGAAAAGCAAGGCCTGCCATTCCAAGACAGGGTGATTTGCCCGCTGGCCGAGTTGCTCATCATTGCAGACCGTTTTCGCACTGTGGCCTCGACTTATTCGGGCCGATAGACGTCATAGTGGGTAGATGACACGAGAAGAGATATGGAGTAATTTTTACATGTATGACTGTTAGGGCCATTCACCTTGAGATTGTTCAATCTTTGACGACAGATAGTTTAATAATGGCCTTACGACGAATGGCTTCTAGAAGGGGGTGGCCAAGTGATCTTTATTCCGATAATGGAACAAATTTACGAGGAGCAGAGGCCGAACTAAAGAGGATGCAAACCGTAGTTGCTAGTTATCGTGAAACGTGGCACTTCAATCCGCCCTTAACACCTCATATGGGCGGAGCCTGGGGGAGGTTGATTAGAAGCGTAAAGACGGCTCTAAAAGTAAGTCGTTTTAAAGGAACGAGCACCCAGAGATGAAGCACTTTCTACTTTGTTTTGCGAAGTAGAGGCGATTGTCAATAGTCGCCCTCTAACACACGTTTCTGTTAGCCCAGCTGACACGACTGCTTTAACCCCTTTTCATTTTTTAATAGGTACATCTTCTAACTTACCTTCTGGAACCACTCATGATTCTGATATCTGCTCTAGGAAGCAATGGCTTGTGGCCCAGAGATTAGCCGATATGTTCTGGTCGAGATGGCTTAAAGAAGTCCTACCATGCCTGCTGCCGAGATCTATGAGGAACACGGGTGATGCAGCAGTTACAAGTTGGAGACGTTGGCTTGTTGGTAGAACCGACTGCGGAACGAAATGATTGGCCTCGGGGGATAGTAGAGCCGCTCTATCCTGGAGTCGACGGCCGAGTGAGAGTACGTGATGTGAGGACTGCACGTGGAGTGCTTCGTCGACGTTCTGCAGTCCGCCTGGTTCGCCTACCCTCAAACCCCAGGGGGAAGAGTGTTAACGACGAAAGAGTTCCTAGTATAATTTCTGGTGTTATTTTTCGGTGTTATATGTCATTGTTGCTTGTCAATTTTATTAAATCGATATACTGAAATATTTTCGTAGTAAAGGACAATGGGCAAAACGCACCCAGCTCCGCCAACAATGTAATTAGTATGAATCGATAGATCTATGAAAAACTAGCCTTTTTTATTATGACACCGAAAAAAAATATCCTGGGAGTCAAAAGATATGAAACCGTAAAAAATATCCTGGTAGTCAAAAGATATGACACATGGGCATATTTAAGTGGATAAATAAATTCATTTATAGTACCTTCATTTTATATATATATATATATATATATATATATATAATATTATTAGTAACCATAATAATATGCCATATCGTACTATACAACCAGATATACGACAAAGCCTGCCGACCATCCCGCGCTTGCACTTACTGAGCCACCTCAAAACGGTTTACGAGGGTTGAAGGACTTGCATTTGCAAATAGTCGACTCGTCTTACTTCGTTGTAATTGTGCGCTCCCTGTCACTTTATTGGTTTTTATCTAACACGCTTTGGACATTAGAACACGGTTATCGGTTTTGTCAATTAGTATGAATGAACTGGAATCATGTTTTCTCCGAAGCGTGGACAAGGTTAGGTGATTTGTCGACGCTCCGTTTTACAAAGAAGACAATTTACTATAACGATTTTTGCGGGGATTTTTGGTTTTACTCTAGTGCTGCAGAATAATATAAGGGGGCACCCTTGAACCTTGTGAAGTACTCCCATAATACCTGAGCCCCCTATGTAGTGTCGAATTAACTAACGAAATTATTTCCCTTGTTTCATTCATGTTCGTTCGTTATAGTACTTGTACCTATTTAACTTAAAATAACTTAAGACTCCCGGGATAGAATTTGATGCGCTTTGGCACAGATGATCATGACTATAATACCTTTCAAACAAATGTAGTTTAAGCCGTGGCGGACGTGGGTGCAGCGTCCATACATTTTTGCCCAATTTCCTTTCTATTTTATCCTCGCACGACAAAAACCAGCGCTCTAACGCTAATAGAAACTTTTCTAAAGTTAAAAGTGTTTTAAGATAAATTAAGTCATACGAAAGAATCCACCCACAGTAACACGCGAATGACATTTAGTTGTTTACCTTATGAGACGTCACAATCATGGCGAATGTGGCGAACAGCGTTTTTAGTGTTTAAAAAATATAGACTAAAAATATTTTTTTAAATTAAATTTCTACAGCAATCTTCTGCTTTTATGAAGTGAAATCGATATATTTAGGTTCCTTAGACCAAATACTTTAAGAAATAAACATTTATTTAATACAATTCGACATGAGTCAACTAGCCTATTTATGGACTTTCAAGTCTATTTTTATTTTTTGATTTTATATCATAGGAATTACATACAGGCAGACATGCCGCTAGGTAGCCAGCGATCACTGTGGCTCATAGAGTTTCTCATAACTGGGAATCCGGTTCCGGCGAGAATTTCAATTATTAAATCATCCTGCTACAAAGTTAAAAGACATGTAACAGACAAGGATTTTATAGTCAGTGATGTTCATAAATATCTATGCAATCGGAAAATAATCTTAATCACAGAATACTAGTACAAGAACAAATATTTTTGATATAGTCTGCTCATTATATATTGAAGAACTTAACTGTTCCTACTATGCATCTGTATTATAATAGGTTATTGCTGTTATTAAATAACAGACTAACAAAAATGAAATCATAACTATTTTTTTCCTAGAGTTTTGGTTGTGAGCTGTGGCGTGCTCAGTCTGGGCAAAATGACGTCCGGGCAGCCACAATGCATCGATGACTCCCAGTGCTCCAGCGGATTCTTCTGTGAGGAGATACTCCACACTTGTCAAGAGTGTGTCCGCTGTGGGGATCTGCAACGCGAGACGCTGGTGCCTCCAGACTATTGCGTTAAATCCGTCCTCGATTGCGGTGGTTGTTTAAAAGGGTATGTATAATGTATACTACCAAAATTATTTTCATGTAAAAGTTGCCAAGATCGTATGACTTGCACTGTTCAAAAGTTATCGGATCCCATATAGGACCGACACTTGAAATCTACAAGGTATAACTGTGGTATAACTTCTAAAAAACTCTACATTTTAGTCAAGATATGTGGCTCTGACTCGCACTGGGCCAATCTGGGGCCCAATTCTCGCGGCGTAGATATTATATCACCTTCGGTATATATCGAATGAACTGGCTTTTATCGAATGAAAACCATTTTGCCCTATTCTCACCATGTCGCAATAGATATTTATCTACGGATGATCAGTAGACATACATCGACTGATAAAGACTAAAAAGCCTTCGATATATAAATATCTATGAATCTTGGCTTGTCAACCTTGTGATTTTCTCTAATTTTACTTATTAATTATTGTGTTTTCGTGTTTCATTGCCAATTATTGTTACCTAAAGATGTTGTTAACTGCCTTAACAAATAATTAGTAAATAAAGAAGTAGGTAAAGAATATATTGTAACGATGGATGAGTTGATTCATGTTTTCGTCAATGACTTAATAAATGAAGCGACTGCTGCTGCTGTGCCAAGGCGCCGCCCGCCGTTGTTTGAAATGAGGGACGCCGACTTCATAAAAAAATTACGTTTAAACAAAATTTGGTTAGAAATCTTTAACGTGACAAATAAAGTTAGGAATGACGTTTTCTTATTGCCGTTTCGGAGTTTTCGGCGGCGGGATTTCTTCAAGTGCGGTTGGCGTCTTATTTTAATTATTCTGAAATTCGTTCCTAGTGGATATTGTGAAATAAAATTGGTGTGATTTTGTAAATTAACAACTAAGAATTAGTGGTATCTTTAAAGTATACGCTATTCCGGTCAAGTGGACGTGAGAACCTTATTGTAGTGTTGACTACCTCACAGAAGCTTATCGAAAAAGCCAACTCCATACATTTCGTGCCAAACACTCCAAACAACATCAGAATGCGTCACACCGACATTCTAATGTAAAAAAAAGAAGATTAATATAACTAAAAACTAGGCTGTATGGGCTTTGTACCCTTTGCCTTCCCTAAAACGGGAGAATCTTAAAAAACTATTGACGTTTCATTATACTTAACGTTGAAATTATATACGCATACAATTTAGGTAAAGTTGAGATTTCTTATACTCGTAAAATATATACTCATATTTAATATGAATGGCATTCATAAAATAAAAAATATCATTTTTTTGTTTGTACAATACTGCTTTAATTTATTATTATTTTAAATAGACTATGACAAGGCTGCTCAACCCCAGGCCCGCGGGCCACAGTGTGGCCCGCGAAAGAATTTTGAGTGGCCCGCGCAAGTATGGTTGAAAATACGCACCAAATTCAAAAATCCCGCCGCGCACAATACAGTCCGAGCAACATATTTGTGCCAACGTCGGATTTGTCGCCAAATATAAGTAAATTATTAAAATATAAATTAGTTTTATTATTAGGAAGATGTAACAGTTTGTAAAAGTCTTTGTATAATATTGACAATAGCATTTTTCTTTGCTTTCTTGGCAATTGCACACTAAAATATTTCAAACAACAAATATTTTTTATAAAGGTAGGAAACAACTTGCTGAGTTTCTTGCCCGTTCTTCTCAGAAAAAGGTCTCCTGGCATAATTTGACATTCATAAGAGTATGTAAATATCGAAACTGCATAAATGATTTGACTTTGACTTTGAATCAAAAAGTTGATTTAGATTTGAGAAGAAACACAGACATAGGTACTAACTTAATTCAAATTTTGTTTCTCTATTTAATAATAATAATATTTAGAATAAGATCTCTATGCTCCCAATAAACAATAATTCAATTTTATATTCATAATAATTGAGTTTTCATTGCGCTTGTCCAGAGAGTAACTGAAAAAGGAAATGTAAGTGGTCCGTCGTTAACGACTAAATACACCTTTTGGCCCGACTCTTCAAAAGGTTGAGCAGCCTTGGACTATGATGTTATCAATCGAGAAAAACAGAACGCATTCGTCAGTGAACGAATATCTACGATAGATATAATATCATTGGAATATCGAAAATCCACGAGAATAGCATTTTTTGCTGTCAGTAGATATTTTCAATAGAAATCCCTACTTTCGATATTATCTCGAAGCCGATATAATATCTACGCCGCGAGAATTGGGGCCCTGGTTCATAGTCATTTTGTGGCCGGAGGCTTAATTTGTAACCCCTACGCTGCGGAATTTTTCGTAGCGTAAGGAACTTTATGTCAATTATTTAACTTACAAACTATAGGTAATCCGCTTAACTGAGACCTCGCCTGCGGGGTACAGGGTGTGGGGGAATACGAAAACGGGGACCGTGAGAGGTGCGGGCCGGGGATAATTTGTATTTTGACAAGAATGTGCCTGCCGCCCGTACCTCACACGGGCCCCATTTTCGCCCTCCCCCACACCCTTTACCCCACAGACGAGGAGTCAATTAAGCGGTCTAGCCAACGATATTAAATACCCTAGATACGCCACGTGCGCTCAAAATGTGTCCCAATCACAAAGTGCTTGAACACCACTCAAGCACTGTTTGGTTTCTCAGTTTGCTTCAAAAGTGTCGTTTTTTCGACAGGTATCTAATTAATGTTTGTTAATCTAACGCATTGAAGCAAATTGTTCTAATAAATATTTATGATATTCAAATCAGGGCTTGTTTACCGGTTAATTTTCAAACCTAAATCAGTATCAAGTACAATAAGAGCGTTTTATTTAGATTTAGCTCTACCTTAACCTTAAAAAAACAAAGGTTTTATAAGCGAAATCAAACAGGTTTTGAATCAATTTAGCGGTTTTTAAAGGGTTTCATTTCGTTCTTACTGACGCCATCGCCTTCGACGTTTCAATTCAAATTTATAATGATTTTATGTCAGTTTCTTTCCAACCACAGAGCGAGTGAGTGAAGTAGTGTGTCAGTTCACAACTACATAATGAATAACTTGACTCACTAGACGCTAGCAAACGTGTCAATAAATGCATCAATCTCGGAGCATTAACAAGTTGTGACTTGAATAGTTCAAACAAAACAAACTTCAAGCCAGGGCTTGTTTACCGGTTAATTTTCAAACCTAAAGCAGTATCAAGTACATTAGGAGCGTTTTATTTAGATTTGGCTCTACCTTAACAATAAAAAAGAACCGGTTTTCTTAAAAAGCGAAATAAATAGGTTTTAAATCAATTTAGCGGTTTTTAAAGGGTTTCATTTCGCTCTTACTGACGGTATCGCCTTCGCCGTTTCGAAGTAGTGTGTCAGTACACAACTACTAAATGAATAACTTGACTCCTTAGACGCTAGCAAACGTGTCAATAAATGCATCAATCTCTGAGCATTAACAGTTGTGATTTGATTAGTTCAAACAAAACAAACTTTAAGCGATGCCGACGCGTGCACGTGCCGCTCTGGATTAAACCGGTTTATTAAGGTTTTAGGTACCCCTTTCATTTCGGACGCGCTCCGAACGAAACCTTTACTAAAAACCGGTATTAACCTTTATTTACCGGTATTTTCGAAACCGGTTACAAGCCCTGCTTCAAGCGATGCCGACACGTGCACGTGTTGCTCTGGATTAAACCGGTTTATTAAGGTTTTAGGTACCGCTTTCATTTCGGACGCGCTACGAACGAAACCTTTACTAAAAACCGGTATTAAGAGCCCTTTTACAAAATTGCGCCGCTCTAGTTTAGGTAAATATGACTGCGAGCGTGTCCGAGTCGCACGAGTGAGACATCGACGCGGCGAAGTTCAGTATAGCGCGCTTTACCAAATTGATATTTTAATATGCAATTATTGATTATACAATAAATGCAAATATAAAATAAAGTAAATTTGAAGTGCTAAGATGGACCCCTACTGTAGCAACGAACGATTCTAGATAGGAATCCTGAGTGGAGCAAAGGATACAAGGATTAAGTTTTTTTTACTATTGTAAGAAAATAAATAATATATTTATAGTACCCATTGGTTGCGTTTTGGAAATGACAATAAAGATTAATTATGATTATTACTAATTATTGTAACTGTATATGTATGTTTTGCATAACTTCTGTTTGTTCAATTTTTTTTTATTCACTCAGTAATTAAATGAAAAGTTTATTCACTGTTGTCGCTGAATGAAATCCCTTTTTTAAGTGGCAATGAGAAATAATATTTTATTTACTTGTATTTTTAGTATTGACTTTTTTAATGATGATTAATGTTTGGTAATAATCAAATATCTCAGTAAAACTGTACAAAGTGTAGTTTTGTCTTTGCCTTCGTAGTTCATTTAATAAAAAAGTTTTCGCACTCTGTATTTTCAATATATCTGTAAGAGTATTTGATAAAAAAATAAAAAGCATGTTTTTTTCGTGTAATTTCCATTCATTTAAACAAAACCCATGAAAAGCATTTAACTTTCATAGGAACTCATCTCTTACACACCTAACTCATGAAATTTTTGCTGCGAGTTCTCGTATAGTAATTTCAGGATAAATAATATGAAAACAGAGCTGGGAAAGTTCACACCTCCTCCATCACTAGCTGCTGTAAAGCACATTCAATAAAATCTGCTATTCTCTATACAATTAATTACTCATCAGTGTTATCAAAGATTATCATCACTGATGCTATCATAACCGGAAGCAGTCTGGTAGTATAACGTATCACGTACAATAATTCTCTTTTTGAAACTGATGATTGATGTTTTGTTTTTCGTAAATTTATTATTACAATGAAGGTTATATTATAGTTATTTATAATAATATATTATTCTTTGTGGATTATTACGGTGACAAAGGGCCACAATACATTTAATTTTAATAATATACATTTAAGTTTTAATAGTATGACGATAATAAACAAAATACTTATAATAACAACATCTGAAATTTCCTCGCTCATTGTCAATTCTATAAGTTCTTATTTCAGCTGAGGTGATATTGATATGTTGGCATTTGACGGTCCAACACCCAGTCTAGTGTTTCCAAGTGCAAAATGTCCTGGTATCATTACACGTCCTCCATCATCCATATACTCCTCCTGAAAACAGATTATCTAATTGACTACAATACTGCTTTTATCGACTATCTACGCATATAAACAGATATAGGCAATACTGGAAATACATTTCCAATCCAGGCACAGATATGGTACGTAAATCAGCAAGTTACTGTCAATTGAACTTATGGAGCAAAGAAGTCTAAATATAAACTATTAAAAATAAACTTTTTTGCTCTAGAAATGCATCCCATTAGTTTAAGTTTAAAACAAAAAACCAAACTGCTAACATTGTAAACCATGTACCTAGTGTAGTAGTGAAATACCCATTACGTCAGTATAAAACAAATAAAATATTTAAATTAGAGTTTGACGCTTCCCTTTGTTCCTCGGCTTCGATTTCCATTCCAACAGCATTTTTTTCCTATATAATTAAATTTATTATTATAATTTCAATTTCTCTTTTCATTGTCTACTTCCTATAACAACATGAAAAACTTACAGTTTCCGTTGCAATCGAATCCATTGAACTTATAGTCGTATAGTTGGTAACGTATAGTTTCAATATTTTCGGGGTTGCCATTAAAATTTTGTTTCCATCTAAAATACATAGAACTGTGGATTTCTATTCTAAATATATTATTATGTTGGGCCAATATGTACTTTGGCGGCCCACGAGCTTATACTTGTTATACTTGATCGATATGCAAAATTTTACCGCATTTTACTTTTTTTATAGACATAAGGAAAGATTGACATACCCATTAAGTCAGTAAGTTAAAATCGTTGGCCATTAGAGTACAGTACCTTGGCTGATTACAATTTTATACCAATGATACTTGAAAAGCCCGGACAAATCACCATTTTTATACAATTAAATCACCCATTGAAACCACAAAAATAAAAAACGAAATGTTATAAGCATATTCACCTTGCTTCACAAGCTTTCTTTATGGCTGCATCATTCTTTCGTTTTCTTTTTTTGACAAAATGGTAAGCAGGAATTTTACGCCCCATTGTAAAAGCTTATAACAAAAATATTAGTTGAAGCAACGATAATTAATAACTAGGTAGGTACTTATAATAATAAAATTTAATACGGTTGTGGAAACTTACATACAGTCAACGATTAAACTTTTGCGGTTGTAGTATATCCAGCCAGTTTTACGATGAATGCACTCGTAGCATCGCTCGGAACGCGTGCGGTACAAAGCGACACAGATCCGACCTCCAAAGGCGCTGGCGCCGTACTGAACTGAACGGCGGCGTCTAGATTTGCACTACTATTTATTGCATTTTACGGGTGATGTTCAGAGTCTTATAAAATAATAATTAATGAAATTATTATAAAATTATATACATATTTCAGTAGTTCAATGATAGTAGATTAGTTTTATGACAGTTTTTGATAGTAATTCTATTTAATTCAATATCAAAATACGAGGTAAACCTGCGTTATTTTTTGGGGAAACTCACGGAGGTTAGATGTTTTTTTAATAATTAATGAGATGGAAAATCAAGATTCTAATACATTGTGTTGCAACAAAAACATATTTCTGGTGTCGTAGTAATTAATTTGATCTAATTTATTGAACATTATAGTGAGATTAAGGCGTTTTTAGTTGTGCATATTATCGCTTTTTCCGTAAACTAGCTGCGGTAGAACGATCAGTACAAAAAAATGGAAATAGTATTTGAAAATATTCTACATTAATTTTCAATAGAAAGAATAAATCTACTGTTTACTTCTATTGGAAGTAGTCAAAATCTCTTCTAAGGGGGCAAACGAGGCGCTCAAAAATTGCGATTTATTGCAAAAAATGTGAAAGGGCTCTTAACCTTTATTTACCGGTATTTTCGAAACCGGTTACAAGCCCTGATTCAAATGCATGGTCGGAAATATAGCCATCTCTTTTCCTCGCGGTCCGTAACTGCTATTTTGTAAATAGCGCATTCTGAATGCAGCGTAGAGGCAAAGAAATATGGTCTATATTCTTCCACATACTCGTATAGCAATAAGTCCTAAGATTTTACGAATTGCATTTCGAAGTGTAATAACTTTTTGACGCATGCGTTTTAATTAAGACCTTATACAGTATGCATTAAAGGACTCTCAATGTTTAAATACTGCCTTATATTATTTTTGACTACGCAATCATCTAACGGAGCTCCGTGGATCGTCCAATGTACATTTTGAACAGGTTTCAGCCACGATTTTGTTTGTGTTGTTTTTTCTAGGGTATTTAATATCGTTAGGTCTACCTATAAATACGAGGGAATTCTCGAGGATGCGCGAGGATTTATCGGAAGACACGTGTACATCGTTTGGCTCGTATTCAGTTTGTTTATTATACAATTGACATAAAGTTCATTACAATCTCGTTGCAAAAATTCGCTTCCATTCCATTCTCCGCCGGTAGAAATTGAGCCTTAGTAATTTTCTTACTATGGACATTTTCGGACAACGTGGTCAAATTAGATACATAAGATGAGGTGATAATACTGATAATGTCATGCTTCGACAGGGTTAATTTTAAAGACTTTTACCAACGACCTCTTAGGGCGTGATTCTACCCATCAACAGGAACAACTTTTATTAAGGGACCAACTTTGAAATCACGAAAAAAAAACTGCTGTTTCATACAAAAGTGTATCGGCTAATCGACCGAAATGTATGAAACAGCTCAGTTTTTTTCGCGATTTCAGAGTTGGTCCTATACTAAAAGTTTTCCCTGTTGATGGGTAGAATTACGCCCTAAGAGGTTGTTGGTGTTTTAAAATTAACCCTGTACATAAAATGGGCATCATGCTTTTTGTTGACAAACATAGTATGTTGCTAACAATACATATATTTTTTTCCAGATTTGTAGAAGATCTGCGAATAGACCATGCATGCATTCCGTTCAGCGAGAGAGCGAAAGGAACGAGCGGCGGCAGCCTGCTGCCAACTTATGCCTGGGTTTTAATAGTTCTCTCACTTCTCGTCGTTCTTACAATAATATCCATCTATATATTCAAGAAAGAAACGTTGTTTTCGTACATCTGTAAAATACGTACTTGTAAGTACCTAACGTTTGTTTAAGGTCCCTCTCTGAGTTTTGTCCGTTTTACACTAAATTATAGTGATTGTTGCTAAAGTAACAAGATTTGAATGATAAATGGCTTATATACTATCATCTTGAATCACGCATACAGGTTACCTACTTATTTTTGCCTGCACAACGACTGTTTTAGTTCATAACATATTTACCTATTTTAATAGGGTATTTGACAAGTTTTGGAAAACGATCTCACGTTACTTACCAATGTTTATGGAGTCCAAAAAAGTGGATATTCATCATTCTCTTGTGTATTACAGTACAAATAACTGATTCAAAAATTTTCAATTTTCAAGTTGTCGCGAAAAAGTATCTCTGGGCATTATGGCGTCTCACTGGTGTGTGACGTCACACGACTGTCAATAAAACGTCAAACGATACAATGTACTGTCACTTTGACCGGAATTTTACTAGTGTGTGACGTCATTTTAGGCTCCGCCAATCCCAGGTGTTTTCAATCACGTGACAATAGATATGAAAACTATTATCTTTTTCGTGGGTTTTTAGTAAAATTATGAATATTTTTTCTTTAATAATAGTAAAAACCCCTGCTAATATTCATTCTAAATACAGATGCTAACAATAGGGAAGATGCAATATTTTTATTTTTGTTTTCATTTTAAAGAATTCCATGTAGAATAAACCACAGATATATTAAAAAATTAAAACATTGTGATTTATCGGAAAAAATGCGGTTTTAAATTGACGATTTAAATTTTCGCGCGAAAACGAACCTATGGTTGCGATGACGTCACTCCTGTCTGTCACTGGTCGTACTTGTTCGTCGCTGGCTTTAAATTTTCATACATTTGCATATTTTTTCGACTTTCAAATTTAAAATGGACTATCCATCAACATCATGTGATCATAACAATACCACTAATATTCCGAAAAAAACCGTTCGTTCCGTGTTGACTCATATTTTGTCTAATCTACTTCAACAAAGTTTCCAAATAAATTGTTTTTGTCTGGAACTTCTGACCCAAAACTGAAAATAAGTGGTTTCAAGCTGCAAAGAGGAATGACAATTATTCTCCAAAGACCATTATTCGATGCTGTGAAGATCACTTTGACGTAAGTCGGCGAATATACTTTTTATATGCTTAATTAATCTGCTTGTACGTAAAAACGCATTAGTAACCTACCTAATACTTACAAAACCTGTCTATAACATATTTTTAATTTTACAGTTGGAGAATGACGTCGAAAATTAGATAAAGTTTAAAATGTGTGGCACAATTTTCACATTGTCAGGACTGAACCAAGCTTTGCGTTTCATTTAAAATAACTGTAACACGATAACCTTCTTTACGTACTTTATGCTCCGGAGAACTCGACCTTTTACTGTACATAATTCTCCATCTCTTTTAATTTGGACATAGCCGATTGCATTATCGTCGTAAGATTTGTAGAAGCCGCTGAATAAAATACGAAGTTTAACAACTACGATTTTTACATACCGTAGTAATTTAGTCCCTTTCATTTCTTCACTTAAAAACTCTGCACTTTGGACAAAAAAAGTTATAACCATATCAACACTTACTCTTGGTAAGTTCCTGGAGTCTGCTTTGATAAACGCAACTTCCATTTTTATTAAATGTAAAAAAACGCAATTAATATTCCCATAAAATAATATTTACTTTAACAACCATAACCTCAAAGAAGTTGTCATAACAGGAGTGACGTCACTAAACGCTGATTGGTGTTTTAAAATACATTCTGTTTCAAGTATTTTTAATTCGTAATAATTATTAAAAAATAACATTATGTAAAATAAAAAACGTTGCAGTGGCATTTCTTTTATATTTTTTTAACATTTTAATCATAAAATTTTCATAAATATTATATATGCATCTTCCCTATTAGCATTTTATTTTTAATACTGTCAAATACCCTATTCGTAGTAGGAACCTGTTATTTAATTTGCCATTCTCATTACTTACCTAGTTCGATTATGTAATATCAATATGTTACGCTGTTGGTTTTTCAAAAATTAATGAGTAAACACTTTAAACTAACTAACTAACACTTAACTTATACTCGTAGAAATTTTTGCGACACCATTGCGCTATTTGTGGCAAAATTTACGGCCTGACCCATATATATATATATACACACATCAAAAGTGTCTAGGGATCAAGCATTTTTATGCGGATTTCTTGAGATTGAGATGTGGCTTTGTAATAAATTTATGATTTTATAAATTTATATGGATCCTTTTTGGTGCATTTCATAATTTGAATCAGGAACTGTGAATCAAATTCGAGTAAAAGATGAAAATCAGCTGTCAATATTTTCCCTATAAAAACATACAACGCATTGAAGACATTATTAGTGCTACTGTTTCCCTACTACTGATTAAAACCAACGTTATTATGGAGCGGCGACGTCATTTAAGCAGGGAAGAAATGCTCAGAGCCGTGGGAATGATAGAAGCTGGTTCTCGGCAACGTACTGTGGCTTTAGCTCTGAATACAAGTCAGAGTGTTATCAGTCGACTTTGGACACGATACCGAAGCACTGGTACCGTGGCTGAGCGCCATGGAGGACGGTATCGCTGCACCACACGGAGACAAGACCGATACATTCAAATCTTAACTCGAAGAGCTCCAACAATAACCGCCATGATGTTAGCCGTGAGGCTTCATCACTCTTCAGGGAACTTAATTAGCGACCAAACAGTCAGAAACCGCTTGCATGAAGTGAACCTTCATTCCCGAAGACCGCTACGGGTACCACCTATAGCAATGCACAATCGTAGGATTCGATATCAATGGGCTCTTGAACACAGAAATTGGGCAGAAGAACAATGGCGTTTCGTGTGCTTTTCTGATGAGTCTCGTTTTGGTATGAGACCGGATACAAGACGTATACGACACTGGAGAACCCCTGGACGCCAACAGCGATTAAAATCCTGCCAGGAAGTCCATCCTTATAGTGGTGGAACCATCATGGTATGGGCGGGTATTTGGATCGGCGGAAGAACTGAGTTGATTTGGATCAGAGGCAACCTCAACGCTCAAATTTATGCTGAGACGATTGTATCAGACGTCATCGTTCCTCTACAAGTGCAAATCGGTCACTTATTTCAGTTAATGCATGATAATGCACGACCGCACACCGCAAGAGTTGTAAGACAGACTCTCGCCGCAGCTAACATCAATGTCCTGCCCTGGCCTGCTCAGTCGCCAGACTTGAACCCGATTGAGCATGCATGGGATATGCTACAGAGAAGAGCTCTGCCGAATATGGAGGGTATCCAGTCGCAAGAAGACCTTTTTTTGTTGTTGCAACGAACATGGGCGGCCATTCCACAGCGTGATTTGGATGAACTCATTTTGAGTATGCCAAACCGATGTTCTTGTGTTGTTAGTGTTCGCGGTAGAAATACGGATTATTAATTGTTTAAGTTACCCAATAAAATTTTAGAGAAAACTGTTATTTCAGTCTTTTTTTCGAACTTTTGTGTTAGTGGTTCAAATGTCAAAAATCCCTTTATTAGGAAAATGGCAAATTTCTTTATTAATGCAAAGGTGACTTGGTTTATCGTTACTGTGACAAACGAAAACACTTTATTTGATGAATCCTTAAAGAAAATTTTAATTAATATCAATCAGGAGAAAAGTTATTGCAAAAATATATGTTGATCCCTAGACACTTTTGATGTGTGTATATATATATTTATTTGAACATTTAACTGAAACTAAAAAGAAAAATTTGCCAGCTTGGTCTGTGAGGCATTTTTTCTAGTAAAATTTTCTTTAGATTTAAACATCTAGCAATTAAATGCTTTATATATATTTAGATAAGTCATATACCTAATTAAGAACGCTTCTAACAAAGACAACATTTTAAAATTTTAATGTTCATAGCAAAAGAGTATTACTTAATAAATATTGGCTCTGTCATTTAATAATACCTTGGAAGATAATAAATCGAAAAAGAAATTAAGAAATATATGGTATTACAGGTGGCAAGGTGCACAAATAATTAAGAGCGACAGAAAAACTTAGTCATAATATTAACAATAATTAAATAATTCCACTATAACTAATAATTAATATGATGCTGCAGTATTTTAATTAATTAAAAACTTCTTTTTTGAAAATAAATTATGTAATTTAATATTTAGTGGCATCTTCTTGGCTGTAGATAACTGCATGACAGCGGTGCGGCATCCACGCCATCAACTTTTGCCAGGTTTCAACTGAAATAGAATTCCACTCCTCCAAAAACGAGTTGTACAGCTCATTAATATTACCACACCGTCTACGCGTCTGATTAATAGTTTCTTTTTGTTTGGTACCAAAGATGTTCGATCAAATTAAGATCTGGGCTGTTCGGTGGCCACTCTAATACAGTTACCAGTTGATTGTCGAGGTATATTTCTACTGAGAGTGCAGTATCCTTCGGGTCATTATCATGCTGGAATCTCCCAAATTACCGGGAGATTGTCATCTGCATATGGCGACATACATTCTGCGAATATTTGATACTGGTGCATGTTACCTTGTATAAGCCTAGTAGATCCCATGCCATAATCTTAAATCTTAACGTTTTCACCGCCATGCTTCACGTTCTGTTTCGTGTATTTAGGATCGAATGCCTTATTTATAGGGCGGCGTACGTACTGTTTGTCACCAGAGCATACTCTATTAATCTTGGTTTCGCCGTAAAAAATACATTTTTCCACTGATGCTGTTTCCAATCTCGATACTTGCAATGAATGCAAACGCTAGTCGAGCCTCTCTATGGTATGGAGTAATACGGGTATCTTTCTTGTTACTTGCCCAAACAACTGTGCTTCCACTAGCCGTCTTCGAACGGTACGCGCAGAGGTTGCGCTAGGATTATTCTCATCAAAATCTTCATATTTAATTTCATTTGAGCCACCATCGATTTTGAGCAATGCCCTTGCATTCAGCAGCAGCAGCAGCATCAGGTTTTTTTTTCTAAGTGGCTTCGCACGGCTTGTGCATTTAGCCAATGTCAAATGTTAAAATGTTTTCAAATAAACTATAGCACTCGTAGTCAAAGTAATAAATAAAAGTAAGTGGCAGCCAAGTCAGTCCCCCTTTCCCTATGTTTCAGTAAAAGTCTGGGGATTTACTGGAACCTCCCCGTGGACTTCTTGAGGGAACGTCGAAAGACACTTTTCGCTATTTTGTTTCACTTGCCAACACTTGTGCATGTTCCCGAACACTTAGTGGTTAATAATCCACCATTATTAGACACTAACATTCGCCACAATTTGTAACAAGAAAAACAAAACTGCTGAAGTGACGCTTCCCGATCCCGGCAAAACGCCCAGGTTTTTTTTATAAGATCAATTACGAGCACGCAGGTTTATTATTATTTCTCTAGCAGCAGAGTCGAAAGATTTATTTATTCAACATTTGATTAAAAAAAAACTTATATTCTAACAATAATAGCGGGAAAATGCAATAAAACTAGTAAGGACAAACATCGCATTCCATATTCAAAATTATAAATATGGATTTTCTTTCGTTCTTAATTATTTGTTTAGCCAGTATTCCGGCAACTTTATGAGTTCCTATGATTTAATAAGTCGACAAATAAAAAGGTACTTTCATTATTTCGACGAAACTATTGCATGAATAATGAAGATCGGTCTTAATAATATTCTACAACACTAACAGACTATGTTTAGAAACGAACCATGTATTTAAATTAGGGTCAAAACATAGTATTGGTTTTGTATTATGCGTTCTCAATTATAGTACCTACCACCACTGTATATACATATAACCTTGCCTGCCTTGCAACCTAAGAAATACTAGAGGAAATTCGACACGGCCACTAGGACCGCAGGAGCATAATGCTCAGTGCATCCGCCCGGAAGCAGAGGGTGGGCGGCGGATTCCAGTCCCGTCTGCTGCTATACATTTTCTTTACATTCAAATAAATATTGTTGGATCGCAGCGACCCACGCGTCGGTACAAAGCCGGTGTAATTACAACGGAGTCGTCGCCGCGCCCGCAACCGCGCCGCCCGCTCAGGAGCCCCCGCCCGCGTACGACCTGTACTACCCGTCCGAGCGACCCGTCTCGCCCAGCGACGCCGGCGACCACAATACCCTGCCTGAAGGTAACTTGCTAACTTATACATCATCATCAGCCTATTATTTGAGGATCTCCGTGGTCGAGTGGTTCGTACGCCGGGTTTCATGTTGTCGCCGACCCGAGAGGTCCCGGGCTCGAATCCCGGTGGGGGCAGATGTTTGTGTGATGAATACGAGCATTTGTACTCCAGTCATGGATGTTTCATATGTATTTCTATATTAATATGCTTATTTAAGTACAGTATATGCATTCTATCCGTTACCCTAGCATCCCATGACACAAGTCTTACAGTGCTTACTTTGGGGCTAGGCTATTTGGTGTGAGTATTGGAAATATTTATTATTGTTATTTATTAATTTATTAATACTTCAGCCTATTAATGTCCCCACTGCTAGGGCACAGGCCTTCCCTACAGATGGAATAGGGAAATTGGGTCATGACCCACCACGCGGGCCAGGTGCGGGTACTAACAACTGCTGATGTAGCCGGGATCAACGGCTTAACGCGCCTTCCGAAGCACGGAGCAGCTCGAGATAGTACATTTTTGGTCACCCATCCAATGGCCGATCACTACAAAAGTTGATTTACTTAAACGATCGCAGTCGAACGAGCTTATCACTTGCGCCATCGAGCTCCAAGAGAGAAATAATAAATTAAAAACTAACAAGAAAATGTATCAGGATATAAGAAAATATTTGTAAAATTTATAAGAAAAGAAAGCTATTGGAAATTATAAAAGAGATAAGAATAGCTCTTAAAAAACAAAAAAGCAGAAAAAGTCATGCCACTGACAAAAGTCCATGTAGGAGATTATAGGGTAATTAAAAACCAAAAAGTCTTTTATTTTGATTTTTGGCCGATATTTTTAAATTAAGTAGGTACCGAGTAACTGCGGGTTACTTTGACCTAAAATGTGCACTTTTTTTCAAATAAAATTGTAGCTTCTCTTTGTGATGAATATGTCACGTTTATATCTTTCCATCGTGAAGTTTAAAGTATAAGTTTCAAAGCAATCATACGAAAATAGGAAAAAATAATATTTAAGGGTTAATATATGTTTTTTCAATTTTGGGCCAAAGTTGGCCTTAAAGAGGGTTCCTTTAGCTCGTTGAGTTTTCTCTGTGAAAAAAACTCATTTTAAGCCATTTTGGGGTTAAGTAACCCTTATAACAGATCACCATTAGCATACTGAATACACAAATGTATGTTTATGCCCAAAAATAATTAAGTTAAATAAAATTTATAACTTTAAATTTAGAAAAAATAGTAAACTTACCGAAAACCACAGTTTTGAGAAAGTTTGCGCATGAACTTTCAAACTATTTCAGTTACAAAAAATCCCTCGTTACAATGACAACTTGATACAGGAACGATGTCGGTAAAACAACACTACACTACGCGTCTATATGGCTATCTGTGATTTTCAACTGGAACTACTCACCCAAGAGATACTGATGGGGCGGCAAGTTCAATATTTTTTCTGATTTGGGACAAAGTTACCCGCCCGAGCTAAAGTAACCCTCACTTACGGTATGTGAATAAAGTGGAAATTAAAAAGTTGTAGATCTTTTGGGTATGTAAATTTTTCGATGACAGTTATAGTTTTCCCAAAGATAGCGATAGACGTTTTTCTTTTTAATATGTTAGCTTCTACTTAAAATGGGTTTCACTCGGTTCTGATTTCTATTCACCTTTTACCATTTTCATAGACCCTGGCCTATATAGGATATCAGCGTAACCTTCCCTAAATGAGTTTCATTTATATTGACAGAGTCGTCGGATCCGTTCATAAAACGCATGCCTGCAACGCCAGCGCACTGGGCTCGCCTGTCGGCCGACAACCAGGCCGCGATCCCCTTCAACAACCCTAGCTACATCCGCGGGCCTGCCCCCGGGTGAGATATATGTCACTACACTGCACACTGTTATTGAAACGCGCGAGTCTGATGATAACCAGACCCCGCACCCTTTCAACCACCCTAGATACATCCGAGGGCCCGCCCCCGAGTGAGATATATGTCACTACACTGTACACTGTTATTGAAACGCGCGAGTCTGATGACAACCAGACCCCGCACCCTTTCAACCACCCTAGCTACATCCGAGGGCCCGCCCCCGGGTGAGATATATGTCACTACACTGTACACTGTTATTGAAACGCGCGAGTCTGATGATAACCAGACCCCGCACCCTTTCAACCACCCTAGCTACATCCGAGGGCCCACCCCCGGATGAGATATATGTCACTACACTGCACACTGTTATTGAAACGCGCGAGTCTGATGATAACCAGACCCCGCACCCTTTCAACCACCCTAGCTACATCCGAGGGCCCGCCCCCGAGTGAGATATATGTCACTACACTGTACACTGTTATTGAAACGCGCGAGTCTGATGACAACCAGACCCCGCACCCTTTCAACCACCCTAGCTACATCCGAGGGCCCGCCCCCGGGTGAGATATATGTCACTACACTGCACACTGTTATTGAAACGCGCGAGTCTGATGATAACCAGACCCCGCACCCTTTCTACCACCCTAGATACATCCGAGGGCCCGCCCCCGGGTGAGATATATGTCACTACATTGCACACTGTTATTGAAACGCGCCAGTCTGATGATAACCAGACCCCGCACCCTTTCAACCACCCTAGCTACATCCGAGGGCCCGCCCCCGGGTGAGATATATGTCACTACACTGCACACTGTTATTTAACGCACTGTTGATGACAACCAGGCCCCGTACCCCTTCAGCAACCCTAGCTATAAAGACTCAGTTTTAAGCCCAGAGGCTCTCAAATTATTGCTAGTCGGCCACCTAATCAGCAAGATATAATAAAATTGACAGCGTCAAACACCTCAGAAAACCAATCCCAACATGTTCGAGGTCCCGATAATAGCGACGACTAACGCTGAGTTTAATGTGATCATTAATTAACGGCAGTAAAATAGAAGGGAGCAGGCGATTTCTAAGTATATGGGATATTTAAAACATCTATTACACCTCACTCTGGTCTAATGGTACCCACCAATACTATCGATATGCTATGCACTAATTGTGTGCTTTAAATGTATACTTCCGGACACATTTATCGGCCCACTTAGGTCCGTATTATAGAAAGATTCTTAGTGATTGATCTAGTCTTGAGCGTAGTTAGAAAGGGATGTCGCTATATATAGCACATAGCCACATCCCTTTCTAACTGTACTCAAGTAAAGATCAACACTTTGTTGTCATTCTGTAATACGGGCCTTAGTGTTATGAGTTTCAACGATCTGTACAAAAAATATATGTTTATGATTGAGCAATAATTTTAAAAACATACGAAAAGATAGTTATGAGAATTGAACTTAAAATGCTAGGTGGGCGGAAAGATGTGTTCGGAAAAGTATTTTATGAAGCATAATAAAAACCAAAATAAAAAATATGTTCACAATTATTTTAAAAATAAAGTCCTTGATATGTAGATTGGGTGGAGTGGAAGAGTCAGGTCCGGTTTCTCCTTTCCAACCACATGATGAAGACACCATGGAGAGCCTCTGGACCCCAAACGAGTCTGTTAACAAGTGAGTTTTAAATCTTGCTTTTTATTGTCATTAGAGACGCGGATTATAAAATTTATCGAGTCTATGATTTTATATTAAGGTCACACTTTATACTATGATTTATCAAAACTTCCAAGTTCTCTCACTGTTCACTTTCTATTATGTTACATCAAAACTTTTCGAAGTTCACAACAATTAAATATAATATATTTTTTAACACACAACAAAAAATAAAAACGTTGGCCATTTGACAAATCATTAATTGAGCAAGAAAGGAAGGAAAAGGGATTGAGTAAATTAAATTAATTGATTGTTATTAATAATATTGCCAAGAACTGTCATACATATAATAATATAATTATGGTATATTTATTCGCCACATAACTATGTAGGTACCTATTTATATTTTTCGAATATCAAAATGTAAAAACATGAAATCGATATGATCGCTACATATATTATAGGATCGCTGTGTGTGAGTAAACGTTTATGTTTTCGTTTTATTATTTTTTTATAATCCTCAACCGCTTGCAATATTGGTTAAAATTTAAAAAATTTTGATACCGAGATGTGACTCGTATTTGATTGTATTTGTTAGATTTTTTCGATGAAAAAATTACTTTTCTCGTCACTATTGCAATGTGTTAAAACGGCCATTTTATTTATTTGTTCAAATCAGTGTATTTTTCGAACCCTGATGAAAAATAATCTTAGGGTGCTTGTTAACGCGACGATTTCTACCCGGTTTATACCCGGGCTGGTGATGGCTAAGCTTGTTCACAAGCACGTACCTACCCTTAGTACAAGTTTTACAATTACGAAAACTATGATAGTTTTCGTGAGCTCGCACTCGTACTAAGGGTACTGATTTTATTGTTTTCGTTTCAATACAAATAAACAGTGTTTAAATTCTATCATTAAATTATTTGCGTCTTCTTAAATTTTAAGTATATTTGGTTACTTTTCACCAGAATGCAAATAGAAACATAATTTACAATTACGAAAACTATGATAGTTTTCGTGAGCTCAAACCCGTACTAAGGGTACTTACTGTACGCTGGCATAGTCCCCAAACCGTAATTAGTGTCGGTGTCGTTAAATACCTCAATAACGTCCCATACCTACCTAAACACCGGACCACACGGTTAAAAACAGTGCCTATACCCGGGTAGAATTCGTCTCGTTAACAAGCATACCTGCTGCGTTTCCACTTATTGTTCAGAACAATGCTGAGCGAGCAAACATTCGCTCGCTCGGTAAATGGAAACAGACGATTCAGAGAACGAGTTGCTCTCTTGCGCAATCATCAATGGAAACAACGCATCTTACTCTGAGCATTCCATTTGCTTTGTGAACAAATTTTCGCTATTTCAGAACTGTTCTAAGCGTAAGTGGAAACGCAGCATTAGTTAATCATATAAATATATATTTTTGATATGAGTTAACTAGCTTATTGTTTTCGCTGATTATCACGGTGCTGATTCTAGAACATATATGTCCGATAAGAAATATATTTTGTACCTATAACATGTAGTACCTATGTTTATCTGCTTGCTTACAATAATAGGGTCATTATCCGTTTTGTAATGTTTCTAATAAATAACGTATCGTTTATCATTTCATGCTGAAGTTCTTGGGATATAAAAGGTAATAATACTGCATTAAACAATAATAACGTACCTAGTGCTATAAGTTTTTTATTTCTTCTCTATTCCTTTTTAATATTTGAATATACACTCGTACAAATCTTCTTAGAGCCAAGATCAAAAGGTGATTCTCTTGCCGTAAACTATTTTCAAGCAAAGAATTCAGGTAATAAGTCAAGTTCGTCTGTAAGAATACTAGAAAATCTCGGTAGCATAGCAGTAAGTGAATTTGCCCAGGCCTGGTTTGAATTCATCCTGACACCTGGCTCGACTGGTTTTTCTAGTTATATTTTCTATAGATTTATACATGTACTTAGCATTTTAATGCTTAGAGTAAAAATACAATAATCATGATAGTTATAAAACTTTTGGGGTCGACATGCAGCTAAAGTCGGCACCGCGCGAGTGATTTATGTATTACATAGTGTCGCAGCAATGTTGTCCGCTTATCATCAGGCGGGTAATGTACCTTTTTGTCGACCGTTTTCACACAAATTTGTATATAGCGTGCCGAGAATCTCGATGGCGCATGTGGTTAGCGCATCCGGTCCACGATCGTAGAAATTTATCTTGTGCTGGTCATCGAATGGGTGACCGAAATTTTATTATCTCTAGCTCCGAGCTTTGGAAGGCACATTAAAGCGCTGGACCCGGCTGCAGCTTCGGTTGTTAGCAATCACGAAGCTGCACTGGGCCCGCATGTGTAGGTCATGACCGAGTCTTTTTATTCCATCGATGGGGAAGGCCTGTGAGCTGTGACTCAGCAGTGAGGATATTAATAGGTTGATTGGTGTATAGTGGCTATGTAGTGGAGGTCCCGTCGTCTCCGTCGACGGGCGCAGAAGCAGCAGGCGGCGTTGCCAGCTCGGTGCGGTCCGTCGCCGACTCCGGTCCGCCCGCCAAGGTCGCCCGCCTGGGAGAGGTGAGTCAATACAGTACGCACCTCACCGTTACAGACTCACACAAACATCATCTTAATACAGTGCGATTAAGATCTTTATAACACATTTGCTCGTAAAGCGTCTCTTATTGCATCAATTTCAATATCATAATCTATCACATTACACACGCGTGCGGTAATGTAAAGTAAAACGCACGGCTTATTATGTTCCGTCTAAAAACGAACGATACTTTTTTAAATCTTAGCAAAGAGTTTTTATGTCAGAAAGGTAGCCAACGTTTTCTTAATAAAATTAACTTTGGGAGATAAAATGTAATATATACACATTTAGTTCTTTAATTAGATTCATTTTGACAATTTTAAAACAAAATTACAACCATGTATCGGTAACAAACTCACAAAAATGGTTAGGACCAGAATCAAAACCACTGGATTGAGTTTCATAACCCACAGATTATCTCGACAGAACGCCACTACATACCAAGATTGGTCAGGGAAGCGATTGAAATAACAAAACATAAAAATTTCAATCTTGAGGACGGGTTTAAATTGTCGAGTGTCTGGAATCCTGTGGTTCGTATGTGTAAAACCGGAAATAATCAAAAAAGTGTCGTGTCGCGATCCGATACTGTAAGTGTTGTGTGTCGAGAACAGTTTCGAGTGAATAGTGAGAATGTGAACAGTGGTACGGGTATCGAACGCAATAAAAGACTTCGTCGGAGGGTAGACCGATATGTCTGCCAATAACAGCCTACCCGCAATTACTTCAGTTACTCCGTGATCATGGCGCTTGCAACAGTACCGAAATATCGGAAACTCGCTAAAAACAAGGTACATGGTAACAATCCCGTAAATAACTTATATTACTATAATGTTAGTGACCATGAAAGTTTAAAACAATATATTTCGATCAATGCCAACTTAAAGAAAAACCACTTGTTAATTTTCTGTCACTAAGTTGGTACGATTGCACGCATCACGCCGCATAATGCGCTCTAGTGCTGTAATTGAAAACTACCATTATTTCCTCGCAAATGTGTTATAAAACGTCGTATGTCATACGTGCTGTTTGATAATTACAGCCTCTGCCTTCTTATGTTATCTGTATTACCTACGGCTCGGGCTAACAATATCGCCTCGGCTGTAATTCTCAACTTACCGCACTTATATCATAATGTACTATTACCGCATTGTAGGTATGTTGACAATAATCCCAAATTCATGTTCTGTGGTTCATTTTATTATAGTTTGTATTATAATATATAGAATTAACGACATTAATATCGTTGATAAATAATACCGAAAATTACTTTTATTTTTATTAAAAATAAGAATCGTATTGAATTTATAATTTATTTTTATCACGTGATATTATTGTCACGTGACTACAAACAATCATGAAACTGAAATCTACGCAACAGGAGGCCTACTCTATTTCAACGAAAAACTAAATTTCAATCGAAATTTCGCACGTTTCCTACTTTTTTTCCTTTTCATTTCGGAAATTCATTCGTCCGAAAATAGTTTGGCAATTAAATTCTCTAAGCCTACTCTAATTCAGAAAACTTTTAAACGAAAAGTAGAATTTGACATATAATTATTCGAAAGGAGATTGCTCAGCTTCCATACATGTTTGGCCTAAAAACCAATAACCATGAAAAATTGTTTCCTACATTCGAAATTATATACAGGGTGAAATTGAATGTTTCTATGAAACTTCGTGAGATTGATGGGTTACATGTATACATGGCAAAAAAATCAGGCATACTCTATAGAGTATGCCTGATTTTTTTCGGATTTTTTAAAATATTTTTTTTCGTTTTTTATTTTTTTATTTGGTTATTTTTTTGTCATTTCTTCCTTATGAGTAATTATTCATTTTAAACACGTCTACATAGAAGTTATAAAGCAACTTAAAATAAGCACTACTAAAAAAACGGAAACTTAATGAATGCCTTCATTATGCCTCCAGTCGAGATCAGCGCCGGTCGGGGCGACGACCGGCGGCCGCCTGTAGGTACCTAACTACACGCACAGATGACTCGGCGCTTACCTACTCGCTTTGATCCACACTATTTAAAAACAATACAATAAAATAGTCTTAGATGCTATATTATAATTATTTATTCACTGATACACAATACCTTTGAATATTATTTCATAAAGCACAGGTAATTAATCAATAAAATAAATCTTCTTAAAATTAAGAGCAAATCGGTATAACTTACGAGCTTAGTGAAGGAAGGAACTCTTCGTGTCTGATTTGCCCACGTCATGAAATTCCGAACACATTTAATCACAGCCACAGTCACACATACACACACACACACACACATAATAATATGTTGTTTTGCGGCAGCACGGGCGGGCGGCGCGCCGCACGCTGGCAACTAGCGCCGGTTGCGGCGTCTTTGATGATGTGAATTCCGCCCACCTCCCCTCTTCCCCGCACGCGGACGTTTGCTTTGATTGCATGCAAAACGCAGTCGCAAGTATATCAATCGCGCGTGAGCGTGCGCATCTTTTGACTTGGTGACTGTGATAATTTCATTATGCCTCGGTATACAAACCAAGAATATTTAGAGATGGTGTACTGCTATCGCGAGTGTGACGAAGTAGGTTTGGTTTACGAATGAGTCCCTAAACCATAGAAGTTGCATTTTGTGCAGTGAGTAGTTATAGGGACACTTTAAAAAAGGTGAAAAGACACGTCCGCAAACAGGCAACCTTTGTTTGCAGCAAAATGGTGGTTTAGAGCAACAATTTTGCAGATAATAATTTAAGTCTCTTTTTATTGCTAGTGTAAATACTTTTTGATTAGAAACAACTAATTGTGTACTACCAGTGTGATTGATTTGATAAAAAGTTCTAGTGAAAAAAATGAATATGTTCCTCGTTCCTCGTTGTACCTACCTAAATCGCCGGTCTCGTAAGTACTTTTGAATACCTGGTTATAAATTTCATTCTTGGGGTATTAAGCAATAAGTATTTCTTTTTGTTTAACATTTGCCTATTTCCAATCGTGACAAAATTATTATTAACTTTTAAAGTTTTTCTCTGCTTAAGAAAAGATGACATTTGTGCTTATTATTTCAATTTCAATAAAGGCATCTAAGACGATTTTATTGTACCTATTGTGTGGAATCAAACGAGTCAGTTGAGCTCTGTGTAGAGTTAGGTAGCTACTTACTCAACGGCTGGCGGGCGCGGTCGGTCGTTGACCCGCGGTGGAATTTCAATGTTTTTCCGTTTTTTAGAAGTGCTTATTTATTAGTTGTTTTTCACTGGATATGTAAATTTGTTTGTTTAAAATGGATTAACTACTCAAAACGAGGAAAGGACATAAAAATACACAAATTATAAATAAATACATGAAAAAAATATACTTCAAAAAAATCCGAAAAAAGACAGGCATACTCTATACACATAACCCAACAATCTCACGAAGTTTCATAGAAACATTCAATTTCACCCTATATAAATTACCGTAGAAACGAATATTATCGACGGCCACTCCTGAGAACTTCTATAAACCATATACACTGAATGATTTTGAGGTTATGTTTGCAAATAGGCACATAGGTATTAGAATAATAAAAACCAAATAACTTATATAGGAAAATAGGGCAATCAAGCCAAGTACCGATATTTTGTATTAGATTCAGGTATATAGAGCATGTAAAATAACAGATATGTGCATGTTTTTAAAAACACGAACAGAAACTGTGTGATGATTGTGAATGAGCCACAGATTAGAGAGAATTTTTAAACTCTCGTTAATCAAAGAAAGCTAAGAGCTGTAGGTTATACAGCCATATCTTCAGCAGCTTCATTATTTTTGTTATGTTTTTATTATAACCATATTTTAGATTTTTAGTGTATCACACCTTATAATGTGTTTATTTAGGTGTTTGGCAAAAAATGTACGGCAATAGACTTTATGATGTCGCCTACCATCTATATTAATTGTCTTAGCACATTTGCATGTAGTAAAAATGATAATAAAGTTGTGGATATTAATACCACCCGTGTAATAAAAAAAAATATATTTTATCAATCTTTACAAAATAGATTTGTTTTGATGTTATATAAACAACCTCGATCAGTCTTTGTGAATGTTACTACACCCATAGCCAATAAAAATGATTCGTATGTTTTCCAAACCGGTAAAAATAGAAGTCCTTTTTTAAAATTAATATATTATTTAAAGGTGGCCGTTAAAATCTAATGACTGTAAAATAAAGTATAAATTACGCCAAGAATTACTGTATATGTCAATATTTTATTTGCATTTAGGCCAATTTGACCAATCTCCTTTTAACCTCAAATTGACGAAATGTTACATTTTCGTTTTGGCACTTTTCTTTAAATTAAGCCTAAAATGACTGATAGAGTATTTTTAATCAAGGCTGCTTAGCGTGAGGAACATTTTTTAGCATGTCAAATTAACATATACACCAAGTTTTAATTAATAATTATTATATTTTCAATACTTCAAAGTATGAATCATACAAACTTTAGTGGTTTTTCGATGTGTTGTTCATGTATTTTTAGAAATAATAAATAAATAAAAAAATGAAACCACAAATTTAGATTAACATATAATGAAGTGCATTAACTCAAATTAGTTGGCTAACACTGTCAAAGAAGGTTTTTTTAATGTTTTCAATTTTTTTTCCAAGCATAATAGGTAATCTAAAAAGTGGACATAAAAGAACTCACAAACACGACTCATTCCATTCGTTCACGAAAATTGTCTGTGATTCCGCACTTTATGTGCGTGTTCGAAAATGAAATAGAGTAGATTCATTGGCGAAATTTCGTTTAAAATTCGTTCGTTACCGAAATTTCGTTTCGGAGAAAGAGGGTAGAGCTCCTGATATGGCGTCGAACGGACAAAGAGTTAGTGAATGAAAGGTCCCACATGCTAAACCATAGATTAGATACCTACTTTATAATATTAGGTCATTACATATGAAATTAGCGTTTTGTCGTATTGACCACTTTGATCTGAAATATCTCCTCTTTGGTTTAGAATTCCAAATTTAAATTTATAAATTAATGTAGCTGGTACATTTGAGTTTTGAAAACAATCATTCATTTGTTTTTTTCCACTTTTTTTTCTCTTTGGCGTCGCTTATTACCGCACAATAGAAACATGCGCTGGTGTTGCAAAAGAAAGCACGGTACGTTTTTGGTTTCAACGTTTTCGTTCTGTAAATTTCGTCCTTCAAAACCAACCCCGTGAACGGCCGGAGACCAAAGTGGAAAATGAAGAATTAAAGGCTATTGTGAAAGCGAATCCATCACAAAGTACTTCAGAGATAGTTGCAAGTTTTGGGGTAAGTGACAAAATTGTATGAATCCACTTGAAGCTAATCGGGAAAGTAAAAAAACTTGAACGATGGGTACCTCATTAATTGAGTGAATTGAACTTGCAAACACGCGTCGACTGCTGTGTTACTTTGCTCAACCGACACAATAATAATAGGATTTTAAATCGAATCATTACTTGTGATGAAAAGTGGATACTCTATGATAATCGGAAGCACTCGTCGCCTGGGACCCAGCCAAATCGAAAATTGACTCAGAAAAAGTTACTTAGACTAGCGCCGGTGTCGTTCACTACAGCTTTCTTAAATCTGGCCAAACGATTATGACAGATATCTATTGTCAGCAACTGCAAACCATGGAGGAAGAACTGGCTGCTAAACAACAGAGATTGGTCAATCGTTCTAGGCCACTGCTGCTTCACGACAACGCAAGACCACACACTGGAATGTCTGCGACATCCATCGCACTCCAACATGGGTTTGCAACCATTTTTTCCGGAATTTGGACTACTTTTGACAAGGAAAAAAATTCAACTCAATGCGGCAGTCCAAACCGCCTTCAAGGAGTTTATTGATTCTCGCCCCCATGGTTTTTGTAGTAGAGGGATCAATGAACTACCTATGAGATGGCAAAAGTGCATAGATAACAGCAGTGTATACTTTGATTAATTAAATATAATTAACAAAAAAAAATGTCTTTATATTCCTCCCGTACAAAACGCCAATTTCATATGTAACCTAATATTACTAGTAATTTTCAATGAATTAGCGATTAAGCATTGTAGACATAATTTGTTCTTACCGTTCATTACAAGCAAGCGCATTTGATGCACTAGCCGAATGCGCTTGCGCTCAATGACCCTTATGTTAGCCGAGTGACAGAGCAGTCGCCGCAATGCCATAAAATCGTCGAGTTTTTTCATACATTTTGTATAGTATCAACGCAAACTAAGCGTTCGAGTGGCCGTCATTAAGCTATTAGCGGCGTTTAATGGCTCAACTGTGTCGATTTTAGCACGATTCTCTTGACTTAAAACTGAAGTTAAGATCAGTCTCTACTTTTCACTCGGAATAGAGAATGATAAGCATACACCATTGTCAAATATAAGTTTAGGTTTAGAGAATCATGCCAAATGGACACCAATGTGCGCTTGCTCTGAATTTCACCGCATTAGGCATTTATCGGAGTTAAGATGTCGCCTGAAACCGTGTGTATTGATACATAAACTCTGCCTGTAAAGGAGTCTAACAACAATCGCGGCCGCGAGTCTGGAAACAGCGGGGCGGGCTCCTTGCACTCGCCGTCGCCCACGTCCTCCTCCGCGCCGCAACGTTTTATCTTCAATTTGAACGTCACCAATGTAGCCAATGTACTCAACAACGCAACGGCTTCAACAAAAACACTGAATTAAACCTACGCGATGCCATAACCTTAGTTTTAAAATTACATCTATCTGCAATTCAGCATGCCTCCCCGTGAACCGTCGTCCATCTTATTAGAATTCGTTAAGCACTTTATGGTTATGCACTTCATGGTAATATTCGCGTGAAAGTTTGGTAGGGATCTCAATACTATTATTGTGATTAATGACACGCTGTTAGTTATATAAAGGAGATGGTTTAAAAGTTGTAGTCGGTTTCTGGCAGCGACGAAATATTTATCATTTAAAAGCTTGTTTTGTATTATAACATGAATAGATCCTCTTAGTTTTTTATTTTTTCCGATTAATTTTAAATCTTGTATAAAAATAGAACGATTTTGTAAGGATGCTGGCCACCCTGTCATAAGTAACGTCATACGTCAACATAATCACTATGTCAAATGTCAATCAGTCCAGTCATGCATTATATTCGTGAAATCATGTTGAAATTATTATACCTATTTATGATTGATTCTCCTTGAAAGAAAATACCACGGACCTGTTCAGGTCCGTGGAAAATACCCACAAAATACCTGATAATGTAATGAAAGATGAACAGAATAATTATCCCTGCTTTAGTTACATATTGAATAGAATATATTTGATCTTTGGCAACAAACAATAGATTAATAAACTTGCCATTTGCCAATCAATACAAATACGTGCAATACATCTCATAACATTTTGGAGTCTAGGGGAGACTGACTACCAGCCTCCATACAAATTTGAACCTTTCTTTTATCAGCTACCGCGCAGATTATGTACAGACCAAAGGTGCTACTGTTTCATTAACATTTGTCATGCTCAGAGGTATGTCGCGTTGTAGTCTTAGATTAAAACAAAAAGGGTAGATACGGTACGCTCATACTTGCATCAAACAAAAACTGATCCCACGGCAGCGCGAACGGTACGGCGCGGCGAGATCCGCGTCACTGCATTACCGACCTGAAAGAAACAGCACGTTAAGTTTCAACGGCAGCGCGAACGAGACCGCGAGATCCGCGTCACTGCACTACCGACCAATCACACGACCAGTACTCGACATCACTACCGATACCGAATAAGATTCAAAACAAACAGCAATTTTTATGAAAAAAAAATATTTTATAGTACTTACGAATGAAAAGTGATGTCGTGGGTTTTATTTTCAGTTCTTGAGCAATTTTAGCACTTTTTAAAAACACACTTAGGCATTGTTTTATCATATAAACACAAAATATTAGCAATATTTCTTTTTGGCGTTCACATGTACGTCGCTTGCATGTCAAGTTGTGACTAAAGCGATTAGGGTCGTGGACCACAATTCATGCGGATCACTTTTGTGAGGCTAGTGCCGTATCTACCCATTTTGGATTATAACAACATATGGCCAAATCTAGTTTTAAATAAAGAATTTTAAGCATTTAAGATGTATTTAATTGGTGGGTGTGTAAATATTCGTGTGCTATATTATTATGCCAGTAGTTTTATTATGACTTATGTTATATTTTTATCATCCGCAGCTAGCAATTTCTTTGTAAGTCCACGTAAGCAGCAATACTCTATTGATTGTGTTGATATTTGTAATATTAATTATGGGATTATAAAAAACACAAAAATGATGACAAAAAAACAGTAAAAGCAAAATGGAAAAAAGTGTGATATTATATTAAGTATTATTATGTTTATATTAAAACGTCTCATTGAGTCTCAGTTTATCTCAAAATGTTGTATGACTTTTATTCTTCATTTACTTTTGAATGTTTAAGTTAAGCCAAAACATTGCTCATCTTGAAGGCATTAAGTTCGGTGAAGATTTAAGACAGACACATTATTGCTCAATTTTTGCTCACAAGATAAATTAGTCTCAATGTCTTTGATGTGATTTGTACTTTTATGGTGATTAATGGCATAATATTATACAATAAATAAGGAAAAACATTTAAATAATAAAATGAGAAACCAACATTGCTTCCAAATATGACCTCCTATATACCCCCCCCCCGCTCGCCCCCCCTCGCCCCCGCTCGCCCCCCCTCCCCCCGCCACTCTTCTGAATCGAAAGTGGGTCAATAATTTAAAAACTTCAAGATTCGACCTTTATTGTACCCTTTACGGTCGGTTATACAATTGCAAACTGTAAAGTCGCGTCGTATAACATTTTAAGTATGTTCCAAAGTACATTATATTATGTTACTACTATTTAATACCCCTTTTGTGTAATTTTGAAATGTAATTTAATATTGAATTATGTAGGTGGCTTGTTACAAAATCAAGATAGAGAGGGAATTGTTTTAAAATGTGATATCGCAAAAGAATAAGTGGATTGATCGCATATTGATTTATTTGTTGACACAATCATCACAGTGCTTGCTATGTTATATGCTCTACAGTCAACAGTCTTTATAAATCTACATGTTTCTATGGTAAATTGAGATTTGGTAATATAATTTAACTAAAATTACTAAATTATGATTTGGTAAATACAATTTAAAAATTTGCAGCCATGTGAAATTTTTTATATTTTATGAATTTTATTTTTATTGACACATCTTTTAGAGCAATTATATTTACGGAGTTGCTGTTAATATCAATTTAATTAAACTAATTAAATTAAATTAAATAGTCAAGGAATTTGAGACAACTTCATAATAAAATTAATAAATCTTAAATAATGTAAAGTTAAAATAACACAGTTTTTACTCGTTTGAATATTTTAATTGTATCTTAATGTATTTGACTTAAAGTTGGTTGTAACATGATGTGCTGTTGACTGTACTTAGTTAATGTTAGGCCAAATATTAATTAATTATAACGTATATTAATATTCTCTTAAACTATCAGATGATTTGTTAACTTGATTAAGGCCGCGCTGTTTCATCCATAGTTAGTTAGCTAGAGAAAAAATAATCATTAGTCAAAATTCCCATTGACATTAAGTATATGGTGAAACTTAAATATGGATGCATGGACGTATAAAAAAAGGCGGACAGAGTTTCGGCTAAGACAATACTGAGGCACCGTAATGGCGGCGGCTATTGATGAGTGAGTAAATTGTAGGGTTGCTAGGTTAGCCAATTTTTTACCAATAAAACACAGTAAAAACATGAAAATATTTTGATTGTTCAAAATTTTACTTTTTGCCCGACTGCGGAGGATAATGTTTTTCGAGCGTATGTATGCATGTATGTATGTCCAATAATTTGGCACGCCCTACAGCCTGAACGTCTTGACGGATTTTGATATGCGAGGTGTCATTTGATTTGTCGTGATTGTGTGAGTGGCACTCGGTATATTAAAATTTCAAAAAATCAAAATAACAGATTTTATGCGCCAAAATGAAACATTTTGAAAAAAAAGTATAAGTATTTTTATAACCCGTCAAGCGAGGTATCAAAGTGAAGGGTTTTAAAAGAATATTTAGAAAATCTACAACTCGTGTAATTAAAAAATAATGAAATTAAAATGTCGAAAATAAAAAAAAAATGTACTAAAAAGAAAAAAACAAGTCCAGTAGTTTAGAATTCTGTTTAATAAGGAACAAAGTTACATTAACAGTCCGGACTCTTTAGAAATTCCAGAATGTATCGAATTTTCTCAATATTGGGTAAATCAACTAAATATACATGGCCTGGCCTGCAATCTCTTTCATATTTCCTAAAATAAACTAACACCCATTGAGTACTGTTTGTAATTGAGGAGTTCCATTGTTTTCCTCCGAAAGTACTCATCAGATCTCCAGTAAACTAATATGCAGCCATCTCGCTAGTAAACTGATTAAAACAAAAAAAGAATCATCATAAACGGTCCACGAACCTCGGAGATCTGCTCGAACAACAATAAAAAAAAACAAATATGACGCATTGCGAACCTCTTTCTTTTCGAAGTCGGTTAAAAATTTTAATCAACCTTTTGAGGTAAACACGCCGGAGTCCTCCTTTAGTTGTATATAAGTCTTGAGCTTCAAAATGAAGACTAAAAATGACACCTACTACATATTTGTTTGGAAATCATTCATTTTCCAGTAATTTCTCCATACTACATTTTCTTTAGGAAATCTGATAAAAAAGAATAATAAATAATAGATTGAAGTTAATGTCAACCCAATTTCCCAAATTTTAGGTAATATGGTTACATGAACATTGGCAACACTGGGCTTTAGACTAATCATTTTGTCCTTAGAATTAAAATTGATTTCGCTTTCTAAAAACTAGAAAAAAGTGATTCAATTATTCATTTACCTATGAAACGTGATTCCTGGATTTTTTTTCTTTCGGTCACTACGGTTTTTACACCTTTTTACAAGCAAGATATCTTGTTTAGCTTATTTTTTATCTCCACGTAACGTGTCGGCTGCTTTGACGTTTGCACGCGTAGTGGCTGACTATTGTGTGAATGTGTGCGTGCCGGCTTGTACGTACAGCGACCTGGCCGACTCTGAGCGACACAGTTTATTGTTTACCGGGACTCTGTCCGCCTTTTTTTATAAGTCCATGTATGGATGAAAAAACGCGCCCTAAGATCTGTTAAACATCTTTTAAGCCCATTCGGATGGAGTTGGTTGGGTTATCAAATGTTGAGATTTTTTGTAAAAAACAATATTTATAGTTAACTATTTACCATTATGTAAAAATGTAATTACCAAGTGGCCAGAACAATGTTATGTCGTGTTTATTTTTTTATTGATTTTATTGTATTTAAATAGTTAAAAGTTGTTTTGTTTTACAAATGATGTTTTAACTAAAAAATAAATAATGTTTTAAAGAACTGCAATAATTTAAGACTCGAGATATTTTAATGTAACTTTTGGATTTAAACGGAAAATATCAATATGAATGAAGCATAAATATTTTACACGTATAAATTGTTTTTTGTTGATCTGATCATGAAGTTATTGACAACTATCGAAAGTCTTTGTTGAATGCAACGTTGTTTAGACATATTTTTTTTAGTTATGAATAATGAATTCTGTTTCACGTAAATATCATTCTTATTTTCAGATTACCAGATTG